CTGCTCTAAGCAATCTATGACAACTTTCAGCGAAGGCTCGTTCACGAGCAGGATCTTGGCCTTCTCTGGCACGTGAGTGCTCTGGATCTTCACGAACGGGAACCTGGACGTCACAGTGTTCAAGTCTAGGGCCTTCACCTCGTCGTGCCACGCCTTCAGGTTCTGCTGGTTCTTGGCGCCGACCGACGCCCCTGCCTCGAGCAAGCCCTCTGCTATGCCGACGAGCGCGGCGCACGAGATTGTCCCCGTGGCCGCCACCTCGCTGTCCTTTCCTCTGGCTCTCAGGTCCTGGGCGTGCTCTACCCACCCGCGCACCCTCGCGCGTGCGTGCACCACAGGTTGGGCGCTCTCGTCCATCAGAAGGGTGACGAGACTGATCGACTCCTGCTGCCGCTGCCGCAACGTGACGTTGAGCAGCAGCTTCATCAGCACGGGCACCGCCTGCTGGATCTGCTTGATATCCATGCGCTCGAGCCCCTCCATCTCCTCTCGATCGATGATCTTGGCGGACTTCTGCCGCTGGGTCGGCTTCTTGGCAGCCGGGGCGCCTCCGCCTCCTGGGCCGCGGCGGCGCGCGGCGGGCGCAGCTCCCCCCGCCGACGAAGCCGCTGCAGGGGCCGCCGAGAACATACCACACGAACTCAGGCACTGGAAGGGGTAAGTGCGTGTGCAGATGACGATGCAGCTGCTCGAGAGAATCAAAAGGCTCATGACAGACAGGGCATACACGCACCTCGGGGTCCACGATGGGCGGATCGTAGGGAGACGAATCGACACGGCACCGCCCAAGCTGATAAGCGTGTACCAAGTGCCTCACGGCCGTATCTCGACACCGAAACGTCGAAGAGCAGGCCACGCACTGGTTAGTGATAACAAGCTTGGAGAGCGTGCTAGGCAGCCCGTGTTGGCCTCCAGAGGCCTGGCGTTGATGAACGAGTAATGCACGGCGGGTTTGAAACCGTCTCTCACACACAAGCCCGTCATCGGTAAGGAGTGGGCACACATGATCACCTTCCGCTAGCTCACCAGGTTCTGGGGCAGACGGGGCCTCACACTCATCCCTCAAGAGCCACTCCTGCCGAAACTGCTGGACATCCAAGCGCTGGAAGGCCTCGAAAGCATCCGAAGACGTCCTAAATACATTGAGATAATCCCCAGACGTAGCTATGACCACCGCCTCCCCCTCCTCCGTGCACCTCATATACTCCACGTCCTGGAAAAACTGTCGAGCCCACGGATTCGATCGAGAGGTATCCGACGATGCTGGCGTCGGTGTCGGAAACCACGGAAAGGGCGATTCCACGGGGGCCTCGAGGTCCAGGGAGCCGAACACAGCTGTAAGTTGTTGAATGTTATAGCCAGGGGAGCGAGCTATTTTCTGCCATTCCCGCAAACGTTGCACTCTGAGCTCTAGACCAACCGGAACAAGCCCAGCTCGGCGCCACAACTGTGCCGCTGGGGGGGTACGGATGACTGTCGACTCGTTTCCTTCAGCATCCTGCACGGGAACAGCGACTGCGACTCCCCCGAGAAGAACCCGAAGATAACGAAGACAAGCTGAATCTAGCCTAGCTTCCTGCGAGAGGGTCAGCACTGCCGCAGTAAGACCAGAGACCGCAGCACCTATGATGTTACTACGGAAGGCCATCTTCTTTGCGCGCCAGGAGGTACACTGAGACCAGAACCGACGCATGTGGGCCCATCCTCGGGCCACGGCCGCACACCGAGCCGAGACCTCGGGGGCCCATGAGCCCGTAGGAGTAAAGAGCGTCCCCAGGAAAGGTATGATAGGTAGAACAATCCCCGAGAGTTGGTCTGTGCCCCCATACTGGAAGACGGCCCTCATGTACCGATGTGCTCCATATCCGACAAAATGTGGCAATACCTGTTTTTTTCCATCAGACTGAAAGATGCCATGAGCGTTGATCTCCCGATTCAAGAGAAGGTCCGAGTCACGGATGACAGCCTGCGCCGACGCAACATCTGTGACGACGTGCGTCTTATTGACGTCGTCCGCGAATACACGTAGTGAAAGATCGCACCTATCTCCAGTAACAGCACAGGTGCCCCCCAGCCTCGCGGGATGTTTGGTGTGATGTTTGCTCTGCCACTCCGCGATCGGTGGGGCGAAGGCCTCCTGGAAGACAGTTGCAGCGTTTGAGTCCCCCATGTAGTTCCCCTCGGAGTTCTGAAACACTCTGGTCTCGCCCTCGGCTGACACACAAAAACAGGCGGCACGGTGCCTCTGGAGAAGGTAACCCGCATCTGAGGGAGCATACAGGCGCATCACAGCAGAGTCGAGCGTGGAGTGCCGAACCGAACCGAAAGCGTTGCGCATGTCGTGCTTGGTGTCGATGGTGGACACTCGTGCTCGCTGCGCTCTCCATGTAAGTGCTGCTGTGGTGCGAACCGCTCCAGTCCTAGCACGCCGTGGAAGATAACCATAATCATGGTATGGGACATGTCGTGCTTGTCTTTCCGCTGTTTTGACCCACATCTTCCCAAAGGCACACAACCCGTGCAGCAACCTGGTCCCTTGGGTCCTGAGCTTTCCGTTCTCCTTCGGCAGTTGATATGTGCACGACATGTTCCATTGCGCAATGAGCCTGCCGTGCTGTCTTACCTTAGCCAGCACGCCTGTCACCCAGCGACCAAGAAGTTCACCCCTTCCAGTGGGAGCAGCAGCCCCGAGCCCAGCAACCCTATCACGAACTTCAGGCCTCTGGGACAGAAGAAGCGCCCAAACTTCATTCGGAAGACTCCAAGGTACAGCAGCCCGTCTTCGGGCCGAAGTCCTGAATCCCTCTGAGATCCTCTCGAGGTCAGCAGTGGCCCGCTGGATGTGGTCAAGGCTCGGGGGGAACTCGGAGTCATGCCTAGACGCGCCCTTCAGGAAGGCCTCAGCAGAGATCTCTCGTGCCGACATGCCGCCCTTGCTCGACGGCATCGCCAGGTCCTCGATCCACTCCTCCATGCTAGGCGTGTAAGCAGAGATGTGCCCGAACTTCCGCCTCTTGGGTCCAACCCCCGCCCCCGCCATCAGACGACATATCCGCCACTCCTCACTCGCAAGACCTCTAGCTTGAGCATCGGCCAGTTCTTCAGCCAGTTGGGTTTCTCTAAGTTCTCGGAGTTGTCGCCGAAAGGCTCGACATCGACGCGTAATCCTAGACAAAGCAAGAGCCGCCTCTACTTCATCGGTCATGGCCTCACGTACTCGGCCTCGTTCCTGCAGGGCCAGCTTCCGCTCTTGTGCAAGTTTCTGGTACGCAATCGGCAACGCTTTCGGGGTGGCCTCGAAGGTGTCCAGACCTACGTCCTGAAGGAGGCCCACGAGCAGGGCCCACGTATCCTCTAAGCTGGGGGACGACTGAACCAGAGTCTCGACGTCGTTGAGCCCGCGGGACCTCAAGAGTTCGTGAATGGCCATTTCGACCTTCTGCCTGAAAGGGTCAGCGTAGTACTCCGAGCGAAGGGCCTGCCCTAGGCCCACGTAGTCCCAACGACGGTGGTACACCCTATCGACGATGCAGGGCTTCAGATCCAACTCAAGCAGCGATGGGATGTGGTCCCTGGGCCGGCTGTCGGGGATGGCCTGGAGGCGTCGTGCCGACCGATAAAGAAGATGAAAACGTCGAACTTTTCGAACGTGTGAGAGCGGTATCAGCACGTGATCAATCCAAGACACACTCTGCTTGTACTTGTCGTGGGGCATTTCATTCAGCGTGTGTAGTTCCAGCCGCTCATGCAACGTTGAGCCTGGCCCTCCTCGAGGGGCAGAGGGACCAGACGGTTCTGACGCCTGAGCTGCAGTCTCCTGCTGCATTTCCAGCGTTGAGTCTGGCCCTCCTCGAGGAGCAGAGGGACCAGAAGGTTCTGACGCCAGGGCAGCCGCCGTCGATGCTGTGGAATGGTGATCCTGCCGCTTTTGCAACGTTGGTGCCCGCCCTCCTCGAGGAGCAGAGGGACGGGGCCGTTCTGACGCCTGATCTGCCTGAGCTCGCCGTGCAGGTTGTCCGTAGTACGACGGCCCACAAGGAAAAAAAGTATTGACTGCAGCCAAGTCGAAATTCTCCGCGAGCTCCCTATACAGTGTGCCAGCCTGGTGCTCTAGACTAAGTCCGTGGGTACCGAGCGCGGTCGAGTCGATCACGATGGGCCCATGCCTGCCAGGCGTGAGCCCTAGTCCATCGTTGACGTCCGAGGCAACCAGAGGGAAAGTGCGTGAGGGGAGCTCGCCCAAGACGCGCATGGCGAAGTCGTTGACCTTCACCACAGTTGCCGACAATCTAGCCTGCTCTCGGGGGTCGCGCGACCGAGGTGGAAAGTACAATCCAAGACAGCTAATATCTCCATAGAAACACTTTATTCTGATGGCTGCTGCTCGCCCACGGATGTCGAGTGGGGGCGTCCAGATGCGCACGACATCTCTGGGGCGAACGGTAGCCTTATTCAAGTAGAAAGAAATTCCACACGAGGAGTTCGCATACTCAGCCTTCGGATGGAAACCGCAGTGCACAACCTTAAAGTGAGGTAGGTCTTCGACGTGGTAGTCAGACGGCCCACACTTCCTTTGCGAGCCTATCAAGATTAGAATGTCTATCTTCGAGAACTCATACTGCAGCTCTAGCTCCCTGTCCCTGTCTGATACAGATAAGGGGTTCCAGCACAGAATCCTCATCACCACCAAGCGACGCACGAGAGACAAGATCAAAACATGGATGAGCGAGTGGGGTGTAAAAACGTGGGTACGGTTGGGGCGGGCGGTGGCCTGCCCTCCGATGCCGGAGGAGGGGCAGCCTCCCTGCATGCGCAGCAGCCGCGTCGGGCACCACACCTGGGCCGCGCGGCTAGGAGGAGGAGGAGGAGGAGGAGGAAGGAGGAGGAGGAGGAGGAGGCGGCGGCGGCGGCGGAGGAGGAGGAGGAGGAGGAGAAGGAGGAGGAGAAGGAGGAGGAGGAGGAGGAGGAGGAGGAGAGGGAGGAGGGCCAGTGGAGGGCGCCTAGCGAGGCCACGCTGTCGTCGAAGGCCTGCAGTGCGGTGACGGGCGCGGAGGCGAGGCCCCCAGCCTCGACCGCGGACCGCCAATGAAGCTGCGGCTGCGAGAACTCCGTCTCCTGCGGGGCGCGCGGCGCGGTGGCTTGTCGCCGCTCTGACGTCCATTCCCCGTGCACTGCTCCATTTCGTGCGCAACTTGTTCCGCAAGGTGGCCCAGGATGCTCCTGGATGGTCCCCGCCGAGGAAAACCTCACACGTCCGAGCGATGCCAAGGTGGGTGCCTGGGCCCGACGCTCTCAGTCCACGCGCCTCGACCTTTTCTCGTCGTCTCCGCAAGGGGCGGCCAGTTACACACCGCCACCGTGCCTAGCCGGGGCCAGGTCCTGGGCGCCAGGGCGGCGGCGTATGCACATGCGCGGGCGTAACTTCTCGACGTCTGCGCTGCTCGCACGGGCGAGAGAGGGGAACACGTGCGTGGTTTGGGACCCCATCCAGGCCACCAGATCTCGCCGAAATCGGGGCTTATCCCCAAATCGCCGACCATGGCGTCCGCAGTGCTCAAAGCACTGACAGCAAATTTCGGCCGGCGCCCACTGTACAGCCAACCCGTATAGGAAGGACGCACGATAAGGGTGCAAGGGCCCTGGGAGGCCATGTCGACACTCTGCGAGCGGGGCGCGGCCAGCGAAAGCGGCCGAGAATGGGCCGAAGGGGCAAGGGTGCAAGGGTAGCCTTGGAAGCTTGCTCATCCTTATTGTGCGGTTGGACTGCATATGAACTAACACAGCGATTTTCCTTGCCATCTAAACACTTACCTGCCACAACTTCCGCCGCGGCCGGGGGGCCCGCGTCCCGAGCGCCCCGGAGGATCCAAGAGGGGTCCCCCGAGATGCCCCGAAGAGACACCCGGGGACCCGAGACGACCAAGACGTGCCAAAGACGTTTGCGCTTCCCCCAGTCCTCCTCCTGCTCCTCGTCCTCCTCCTCCTCCTCCTCCTCCTCCTCCTCCTCCTTCCCTTCCTCCTTCCCTTCCTCCTCCTCCTCCTCCTCCTCCTCCTCCTCCTCCTCCTCTCTCCTCTCCTCCCCTCCCTCCTCCTTCTCCTCCTCCTCCTGTTCCTCCCCGTCCTCCTCCTCCTCATCCTCCACATCCTCCGCCTCCTCCTCCTCCTCCTCCTCCTCCTCCTCTCCTCGTCCTCCTTCCCCCTCCTCCTCCTCCTCTCCTCCTCCTCCGCCTCCTCCTCATCATCATCCTGCTGCTTCCGCTGCTCCTCCTGCTCCTCCTGCTCCTCCTGCTCCTCCTCCTTCTTCCCCTCCTCCTCCTCCTCCTCCTTCTCCTCCTCATCCCCCTCCTTCCCATCCCTCCTTCCCCTCCCTCCTTCCCCTCCTCCTCCTTCCCCTCCTCCCTTTCCCTCTGCAACGGGGCGCTCTGCGGCCCGAGGAGGACCCCTGAGAGGTCACGACGAGACAGAAGTCATTGATTCGTCCATACGACGTGCCACGACTTGGGGGCACTCGCCGCCTCGGTCTTCCTAAGATTTGGAGAGACTGGCCTCCTCGGTCTTCAGAGCCTCCACGACGGCCCAGTCGACCCCCAGGCTCGCCCAGCAATCGCCCATAAAGGCGCCGCAGGAGGGGCCCAAGCGGGGCCGAGGGGGGCCCAGGATGATCCAAGATGGCCCCCCGGACGCTCCACGAGGGCCCCTGGATAGGGCGCCGAACAGCCGACGAGAGTCCCACCACGGCACAGCAGGGCGCCTCCACGTCTCCCACAAACGCTCCCAAGACGGCCCAGAGGGGGCCCTGGACGGTCCAAGAGGGCTCCAGAACAAAGAGCAGGCCCCCCCCGAAACGAAAAAAAAACACTTGCTTCACGGTGGCCCCTATCAGACCCACGAGCCCATGGCAGCCCTGAGGTTCCGGGTCCCTGCTCCCCTCCGCTCCCAGAGAGCAGCAGCAGCGCGGGGCGGCCTTGCTGTCGAAGCGGTCGCTGTCGAGGAAATCGCTGTCGACCCGGTCGCGCTCGTCCTGGCCCGCCCCCCCCCCTCTCGGGGCGGAGGAGGCGAGGGACGATGGAAAACCTGGAGAGAAAAAGGAAGCGACGGAGGCGGCCGGAGTGGGGAGGGACGGAAGCGGGGCGGAGGCAGGTGGAGAAAGAGGGGGAGGAGGAGGAGGAGGAGGAGGAGGAGGAGGAGGAGGAGAGGAGGAGGAGGAGAGGAGGAGGAGGAGGAGGAGGAGGAGAAAAAGGAGGAGGAGAAAAAGGAGGAGGAGAAAAAGGAGGAGGAGGAGGAGGAGGAAGAAGAGGAAGGCGAGGCGGGGGAGGCGTCCAGAGGAAAGGTGGAGGGTCGGCGGTGGACAAACCTCCCTTTAGTAAACCTCCCCTTAGTGAAAGCGACCCGGGGCCGAAATCGACGGACCTGGAACCGCAAAAATGACGGCCGTGACGCCCTCTCGCGAACCGAAAACGGCCAATTCGCTAATCGACGTGTCGGAGTAGGAGGTCTGTCCACCCCCGAGAGGGTCAGAGTACCCGCGGCCGAGCGCCCCTGACACAGGCAACTTCCGCCGGAGTCCTCTGGAGCGTGCACCCATGCTTTAAATGTCTGCTTGTGTTTCTTTATTCGCGCGACACTGTTGGCCAAGGCCCCTGCCGAATGACGAAGTGCGGCGTTCAGCACTTCGTTTGCAGAAAATTATGCAACCGCCCCCCGCCAAACCTAATCATGCCAAACCTTTTTCGCTCAACGGGGGAAATGAGACAGCTTCGTATCCAGTCGAAGAACTTCGATGGCTGGGTAAAAATGCCGCGCAACTTGACTACACCAAGAGCTTCCCTTGGGAGGCTGTTCGCGTCCGTTCGGCCTCTCTGATGTTTGCTTGGCAACTGCTCAGCTCTTCTTGGGTTTTCTCGGGGCCTGTGACTACCTACCAGACCACCCCAACCCAACCCGAAGACCCGAATTTGACCTGAATTTCGGGTTGGGGGGGGGTACAGATTCCATGTGTTTTTTCAACGTTCCCCGACCCCCCCACACCAGAAATGGAGGGCAAATCGAGGGCTTCGGGTTGGGGTGGGGTGGTTTGGTGGGTGGTGAGCCTGGGGAGTGTCCCAGAAAACCCAGACATCGGGGCCCGTATAACATCCCTGTTACAAGAACGTGCGTGCGCACAGATGCGCGTACGTGGGCAATCCAAATGCTGCGTCTTCGCTGCAGGGCCATCTGCAGCCACGCCAGTGCCAAACTAACACAGGCCAATGCTTTGTCTTCGCTCCAGGGAGTAAAACGCTCAGCGCCTCCGCCAAATCCGCCGACCCTGTCGGCGTGTGCGAGGGGCTTGGCTGTTCGAGTCGTCGTCTCCGTCAGTCGTCGCCTCCGTCGTCCCCTTTCCCTGCAGCTTCCTTCTCAAGCTCGTGAGCGAGAGAAAAATCAAGCAGTGTCGTAGTCGAGTCGAAGGGAAGGGAAGCCCTTTCCCTTTGATCCCTTCCCCAGGGGGGAGGGGGGGGGGGAGGGGTCCCGGGGGGGGTCCCGGGAGTGTGGAGGGGGGGGTCCCGGGGGAGGTCCCGGGGGGGGGGTCCCGGGGGGGGTGGGGGGCAGATTCGTTTTTCCTCGGGCGGCCTAGAAACATCGAAAACACTCCAAATGAGGTCTGAATGCCCCAGATGGCCCCCGAGACGGCCCAAGAGGGCCCCGAGTCGCCCAAAGATCGGCCGAAAACGCCCAGGATAGCCCCAAGACCGTCCAAGAAGCCTCCAAGACGTCCCAGGCCCCCTCCAAGAGACCCCCAGGAAGCCCCAAGAGGCCCCCACGAGGCTTCCAAGCTGCCCCTAAGAGCTTCCCAAGAGGCCCACAAACTACCGCCAAGAGGCCCCCAAGAGCGCTCGTCGTCGTCGTCGTCGTCGTCGTCGTCGTCGTCGTCGTCGTTGCCATTCAGGGTCGGCGGCACCGGCCGTAAGGCCTTCGCAATATAAAGATGTCAAACAAATCAAATTTCGTTTGCAGGGCACGTTGACGCGGTGCCTTCGCCAAATATCAGTTTGCTGCAATGAATCACTTGACTGTGAGTGGTTTAGGGCGCCTCCTCTTCCAACCCCCTTTGTTTCCCTTCGGGGAGGGGTTTGCCCCTCCCCCGATCCCCGAAAGGGTCAAAATGGCCTCCAGACGGCCAAGATGACCTTCAAGATGCCCACGTGTTCCCCGAAGGCTTTCCAAACCGATTCGGGGAACACATGGTCCGATAGCTTGGCAGGTCTCGCCTCAACGTTCGGTCACATAGGCGCTTCCAAAAAGGCAGGGGGCGGCGGTGATTCGCCGTAGGCGTCTTCGATCCGCTGTCCGCTGTCGATTCATCGCAGGGGTGCCTGGCGTGCTAGACCCTGTCGGTTTTGGTTTGGGTTCTTTCCCAAAGAACTCCCCCTGGGGCTTCGGCCCGTCCCGCCGGCCACCTGAAAGGATGCCGAAATATTGCCCAGAGGTGGTTGCAAAGGGTTTTTCCGTTCCAGACGGCTCCAAGATGGCCCAAGATGGCCTCCAAGACGGCTAAGATGGCCCCAAGATGCCTCCAAGACGGCCCAAGATGCACCCAAGACGGCCTAAGATGGCCTCAAGATGGCCCAAAACGGCCCAAGAGGCTTCCAAGAGGCCTCCAAGACGGCCCAAGAGGCCTCCAAGAGGTCCTCCAAGAAGGCCCGAAGGGGCCACAATCATGGATTTTCCGTTGGTTTTTGAAGGATTTTGGTATTTGCGCCTGTTCGGCTTTCCGACGGCCCAAGACGGCCCAAGAGGCCCCCAAGGTCGCCCCAAGATCGCCCAAGAGGCCTCCAAGATGGCCCAATGACGGCCCAAGAGGCCCCCAAGACGGCCCCAAGAGGACCCCAAGACGGCCAAGACGGGCCAAGAGGCCTTTAAGACGCCCAAGATGGCCTCCAAGACGGCCCCGAAGCGCCCCGAGAGGGCCCCAAGTCGGCCCAGAGAGGCCCCCAAGGCGGCTCCCGACGGCGTCTGACGGGCCAGGAGCCCACCAAGATGGCCGAAGTTGGCTCGAAGCTGGCCCAAGACGGCCCAAGAGGCCTCCAAGAGGCCTCCAGGAAGGCCAGAAAGAAGGCCCCCAAACGTATGTTCCTTCGTTTTTTCGTTATATATATATATATATATATATATATATATATGTATGTATATGTATCTATGTATGTGTGTATGTATGTATGTATGTTTGTATGTATGTATGTATGTATGTATGTATATATATATATATATATATATATATATATATATAATATATATATAAATCCAAAAACAAATCACGTGTGCTTCTTTTCGGCCTTCCGACGGCCCGAGACGGCCCAAGAGCCCCCAAAGATCGCCCAATAGGCCGCTAAGATGGCCCCAGAACGGCCCAAGAGGCCTCCAAGACGGCCCCAAGAGGCCCCCAAGACGGCCCAGGAGGCCTTTGAGGCGCCCAAGATGGCCTCCAAGACGGCCCTGGAGCATTCAACGAGGGCCCCAAGTCGGCCCATAGAGGCCCCTCAAACGGCTTCCGACGGCGTCAGACGGGCCAGGAGCCTACCAAGACGGCCGAAGATGGCCTTAATATGGCCCAAGACGGCCCAAGAGGCCTCCAAAAGGGCCTCCAGGAAGGTCCGAAAAGGCCAAAATCATTGAGTTCCCACGAGTTTTTGAAGGATTGTGGCATTTGCTTTGTTTCGGCCTTCCGACGGCCCGAGACTGCCCAATTGCCCCCAAAGATCGCCCCAAGACAGCCCCAAGATGCCTCCAAGACGGCCCAAGAGGCCTCCAAAACGCTCAAGATGGCCTCCAAGACTGCCCAAGAGCCCTCCAAGACGTCCTCCAAGAAGGGAGTAAAACGCTCAGCGCCTCCGCCAAATAAAACGATGTCAAACAAATCAAACTTTCGTTTGCTGGGCACGTTGACGCGGTGCCTTCGCCAAATATCAGTTTGCTGCAATGAATCACTTGACTGTGAGTGGTTTAGGGCGCTTCCTATTCCAACCCCCTTTGTTTCCCTTCGGGGAGGGGTTTGCCCCTCCCCCGATCCCCGAAAGGGTCAAAATGGCCTCCAGACGGCCAAGATGACCTTCAAGATGCCCACGTGTTCCCCGAAGGCTTTCCAAACCGATTCGGGGAACACATGGTCCGATAGCTTGGCAGGTCTCGCCTCAACGTTCGGTCACATAGGCGCTTCCAAAAAGGCAGGGGGCGGCGGTGATTCGCCGTAGGCGTCTTCGATCCTCCGCCCCATGTGCTCTTGCCACAAGGGTGCCTGGCGTGCTAAACCCTACTGCTTTTGGTGTTGGTTCTTTTCCAAAAGAGAGCGCCGCCTGGGGCTTCGGCCCGTCCCGCCGGCCACCTGGAAGGCTCCGGGCGGGGTGGCCCCAAAAGTTGCTCCTGCTCCAGATGGCTACACGATAGCCCCCAAGACGGACAAGATGGCCCAAGATGGCCTCCAAGACGGCCAGCATGGCCTCCAAGGTCGCCCAAGATGGTCCAAGATGGCATCAACGACGGCCCGAGAGGGTCTCCTCCAAGTCCGCCCAAGAAGCCTTCACGATGGCCCACGACGGCCCAAGAGGCCCACACGACTCCTCCAAGACGTCTTCCAGGAGCAAAGTCATTGATTTTCCTTAGGTTCTTCTCGGCCTTCCGACGGCTCTAGAAAGCCCAAGAGCCCCCAAGATCGCCCAAGAGGCCTCCAATATGACCGCATGACGGCCAAGTCGGCCCCAAGAGGACCCAAAGACGGTCCAAGAGGCTTCCAAGACGCCCAGTATGGTCTTCAAGACGGCCCTGAAGCACTCCAAGAGGGCCCCGAGTCGGCCCAGAGAGGCCCCCACAACGGCTTCCGACGGCGTCAGACCCAGAGAGCCCCCAAGACGGTTCGTCAGACGGGCCAGGAGCCCACCAAGACGGCTTAGGATGGCTCCAAAGATGGCCCACGACGGCCCAAGAGGTTCCAAGACTGCCCAAGAGGCATCCAAGAGGTCCTCCAGGAAGGCCCGAAGAGGCCAAAATCATTCCATCGGTGTTGGAAAGATGTTGGCATTTGTTTATTTTCGGCCTTCCGATGGCCCTAGACGGCCCAAGAGCCCCCCAAGATCGCCCAAAGGGCCTCCAAGATGGCCCCACAACGGCCCAAGAGGGCCCCCTAAGACATCCCAGAGGACCCCAAGACGGCCAAAGAGGCCTCCAAGACGCCCAAGATGGCCTCCAACACGGCCCTAGATGGCCCCGAGTCGGCCCAGAGAGGCCCCCAAGGGGGCTTCCTACGGCGTCTGACGGGCCAGGAATGCCCTAAGACGGCCCAAGAGGCCCCCGAGAAGCCCCCCAAGGCCCCCAAGAGGCCCAAGTAAGCCCCCAAAATGCTTCCAAGAGGCTCCCAGGAAGCTCCCAGAAGGCCCCCAAGACGCCCCTACCTTCTTCCTCCTCCTCATCCTCCTGATCTTCCTCCTCCTCTTCCTGATCTTCCCCGCCATCCTCCCACAACTGTTCCCCGAAGGGTTTCCACAACGGCTAGGGGAACACATGGCCCCATGGCTTGGCAGAGCTCTTGCCACAACGCTCGGCCACGCAGGCAAGTGCCGGCGGTGATTCGCCGTAGGCTTCTTCGATACCAAGCTCTGCCGCTCCTCCCCCTGGTTCTCCCCCTCTCCTCATCCCCCTCTACAATTACACAATATGGATACTACTCTCCTCTCTCCCCTGATGACGTCCAGAAGATATCCGGCCCCCCTCCGCGATTTTTACACGCAAGGATCCCAAGAATTGGGTTGTCGCTTGGGTTGATTTCCAAAATGCTCCTCCCGCTGAAACGCTGGCCTCATTTTCGGGCTTCCGCTCGTTCCGAATCGTGCTCCCGCTGCAGCGCTGGCCTCATTTCCGCGCTTCCGCTCGTTCCGAGTCGTGCTCCCGCTCCAGCGCTGGCCTCATTTCCGCGTTTCCGCTCGGCCCGAATCTTGCTCCCGCTGCAGCGCTGGCGTCATTTCCGCGCTTTTGCTCGGCCCGAATCTTGCTCCCGCTGCAGCGCTGGCGTCATTATTTCCAGCGCCATGCCACGGCATGGTTTTCGGTCCTTCCGAACAGGCCCCAAAATGTATAAAATGGCCTCCCGAAAAAAAACATCGGAGGTGATTCCACATTCTTTGTCGATTCGTTCACTTATTGGGCCGCAGAAGCTCCCCCACTTGGGGGCGTCGCTACGACATGCTATGTCTTGCTACGCGCTGATCTTCAACACGATGCTATGCCATGTAATGCTATGCTATGCTGCGACATCCGATTGTGCGAATAGAAAGGAGATCTACGCCGTGGTAAGGGATGGGAGTGAGAGTTAGGACGTCAGATACGATGCGAACGCACCTAGCTTGACTCCTCCCCTTCCTCCTCCTCCGCCTCCCTCGCCTCCGCCTCCTTCTCCTCCTCCCCCCCAGACCACCCTACCTCCTCCTCCCTCTCCTCCTCCGCCTCCTCCTCTTCCTCTTCCTCCTCCTCCTCCTGCTCCTGCTCCTCCCCCCTCCACCCCTCTCCCCCGTCCTCCTCTCCTCCCCTTCGTCGCCCCCGCCCCTGCGGGCTGACGGGAAGTGCCCAGGCAGCCAGAGCGCGGGCGCTCCTCCCCTCCTTCCCCGCACGGTCCTCGGGCTCCGCGCGGCCCCATCTGCTGGCGCAGGCGCTCCTCTCCGCCTCCGCGCTGCGCGCCGAGTCGTCGAGCTGCACGCCCCGCGCCTTGGCGGCGCCCGCGAGCCTCTCCGCGTCGAAGAGGCGCCGAGCCGCGGTGTCCCTCGTGCTCCGCGCCGGGGCCGTCGACGACGCCGCGCCCGTCCGCGAGCCCGCGCTCCGGGAGGTGCTCCGCGAGCCGCCCGCCCAGCCGGTCCGCGTCGTCGACGACGTCGCTCCGGTGTCTCTCGTGTCCATCCTGGGGGCGACGTCAAGCACTTGCCGACACCTCGCCATCGCTCGGGCGTCCATTCCCTGTGTTTTTTTTGGTTTCGTGCGTGGCTTTTTCGCCAAATGATCAAGGATGCTCCTCGATGGTCCTCGCCGAAAGAAAAATGCACACGTCCGAGCGATGCCAAGGACACAGGGGACCGGGCCTGACCGAGCCCAGGACCCGCACGCCTTGGCGGCGCGCACCACGGGGGTGGCACGAGGGGGGTTGCCTTCCAAGGAGCCGGGTGGCTTCTTGGAAGGCATGGGCCTTCTTGGAGTGGTCCCATGGGGGTTCTAAGAAGGCCTCTTGGAAGCCAGGAGGGGTTCTGAGAAGCCCCCCTGCCTCCCAAGGAGCCCCCGCCTTCTGAGAAGCTCGCCACCCTCGCGCCATTCCCTTGCGCGCAGCACAATATACAGGAGGCCCGCATTTGGCCGACGAGAAAATTATGGGTGAACGGCACCTCTCGCGTGGCTCTTTCCCAGAACGAGAGACGCCTCGAACTACGGCAGTAGCACGCAGCAGCAAAAACAACAGCGGCAATTGCCACAACATCTTCAAACGCAACAATCGTGACACCACTTGCCCTTGAAAAAAGCGGTGCCCCCCCCATCCACCGGGAATTGCTCACGCTGCTGCAGCCAACTGTCTGCTGGAAATCCCGACTGGGTCACGGTCAGCGACGGGGAGGACGAGCAACCACTTCGGAAACAGCAAGGCCAAACGTGCACAGTCCTACTCCGCGAAGGCTCCCAGGGCCATGCGGGGAGGGCGCACGCACAACTTCCAGGTGGACGGGGAAAGTTTTGGGGAGAGGTTTTGAAGTGGGGGCGAGAGGGGCAGGGATGACGGGGAGGAGGCCCAGCTCAATCGTAAGGCTAGTCTGGTGCTGCGTGGAACAGGTATGTTTGTCTGACGCTCCTGTTGAAGCCCAGGGACTCAATGGAGTCCATGGACATGCAGCCTTTGGCGCTGTCCCTGCGGGTGAGATCAGCGCCGTTGACGGACGAATCCAGAGACGCCCGCCGGCTAACCGTGCTGTCGCCAGCCTCGCAGTCGTCGCCCTCCAGCTCGAAATGGCCCTTCTTGCCGCTGGTGATGCATGGGAAACCGCAGCACCCGATGTACTCCTGCCCCCGGTCGGTGTACTCCTGTGCCCTCGCGTTCGGGCCCTCCAGCGTCCTGTTTCTTTGTTGGGTAGGGCAGAGAAAAAATGGAGGGAACGAACGACATAACTCGACACGCCTCGGCATCAATCGTTGTGTAAATCGAAAGGTCGCCAGGCAAGCTGGGACCCCCACATACAAGACGACCCGCGACAGACAAACTCCTGCAGTGAGACGTCGCCTGGAAGAGGAAGCGAACGCGCTGCATGCGACCATCCCCTGACATTCGCATGCAGCACGTTCGCTTCCCCTCGGGCCCTCGAGCGTCCTGAGCGGCCGCTCCTTCCCGCGCCTGTTGTACATGATCCGCCTGGTCTTGACGGGCCTCAGGTGGAGCGAGGTGGCGGCGCTGTCGGGCTGCTCGTCCATCATGGCGAAGGGATCGAACGCCAGCTCCCCCTGGACCGGCTTCATCGGCCCCTCACGGTCGGCGGACGCTTGCCGACCACCGCTGCTACGCTTAAGTCGGGCCTGTCCCCCTACAGGGGGATTTTCGACGAAAAATAAAAACATACCCCAAACATGCACCAACAATGTAAAAAAAATACCCCCAAAATAGTCCCCAGACTAGTTTTGGACTATTTTTTGCGCATTGTTGGGGTATTTCTTATTTTCCGTCGAAAATCCCCCTGTAGGGGGACAAGCCCGACAGAATGCTACGCCAGACTGGCTGCCTACCCGGGTCACCGAAGGCCTCGCATCGCGGCCCGCGGTGCGCGGCACGCGGGCATCTCCTCGCGCCCTCGCGCCGCCGACCTGGAGAAAAATAGGGCGCGTCTCCAACCTAAGGCCGCGCTGCATGCGAGGCGCGACCTCATCTTCGCTCCTCTGGGGGTGGCCTGGCCTGCGCACGGAAGCCGGATGCCATGCGAATCGCCGATCTGGGTTCCAGAAGCTGGAAGCTGGAGGAGGAGGAGGAGGAGGAGGAGGAGGAGGAGGAGGAGGAGGAGGAGGGGCAGGAGGAGGAGGAGGAGGGGGAGGAGGAGGGGGAGGAGGGAGGAGGGAGGAGGAGGAGGAGGAGGAGGAGGAGGAGGAGGGTTCCATGCGAACTCCCGCAGAAGCTGGACTGCAGAAGCTGGCCTGCGCACGGACCTGGGCGGCGACGCCGATCGCCCACGCGGGCTGGCAGCCACAGCTCGGGCCACGCACAGCCTCTCTGCACGCGGGGTGCGCCGCTCGGCAGCTCTCGGCTGGGTGCCACCGCCCAGAGCGGCCTGGGACATTGCGCAGCTCTCTGCGGGCCGTCTACCGGTGGAAGGCCGGGCGCTCCCAATGAGTAGCTCACAGCGTTCTGCAGAACAGCTTCCCACAGCACAGTTTCTCATATGGTATCCTGTGTGTTTTTGCTCCAGTGGCTCCTGGCGGCTACCGCCGCTTTGCAGGAACTCTGCCGTGCGGCTGCCGTCGCGTGCTCTCGAGCTCGCGCGGGCCCCCGCGCGGAGCTCGGCATGGTGCGGTCGCTGGAGCGCCGGCCGCGCTCCACCAGCTCCACAAGATGCTCTCGCCTCAACGCAGGCCACGATCTTGCCCAGGCGCCGACAAGGGGCACGATGACGTCCTCGCCTCTACGCTGGCCACGCGTACGGCTCAGAACGATGCTCGCCTCAGCGCTGGCCACGCTATTCATCACTCAGAGCAGCGCTCTCGATCTGGTGCAGGTCTCGCTCTCCGCTGGGGTGCTGCTTTTGCCACACCACGGACCGCCGACGTCGTACTGTTTCTCGTCGTCTGAGCCCCACGAACTCCCGACCACTCCCACGAGTCGACTTTTTCTGGCCAACTCCTGTGCCCAGGGAGGGAGCCCCAGGAACGGCAGCTGAAATCCTCCCGTCGCGACTTCTCCCTACGTTCAGTAGACTTCCCCAAACGGTGCTTGCACTTACGGCTTCTTATTTGTGCACTGAGGTAGCTGGTTTGAGCAAGGACCGACCGTCCCAGCATTCCTATAGTCCTACCGCGAAATGTTCTCAGAACCCAAACATGTTCTAAGAACAAAAACAATGTTCTCTGAACATAAGCCCGATGTGTTGAAACAAGACAATATCCGCCAGAAATGTTCTAAGAACATTTCGTGAGAACCACAAAAGGTTCTTAGAACATTGTTTGGTAGGGCTGTAAGCGAGCCGGGACGCTTCGCCACTGCTTGATTGATGGCGGTCTGGCCGGCTCCTCGCCGCCCGTCGCCGCCCGTCGCCGCTGGGCCCCAGTGGCGCTCCGTCCAGCTCGTCGCCGCCCGTCGCTGCCCTGCTCTGAACTGCTGTGCACTGCTTTGCATTGCTTGGCATTGCGTTGCGTTGCTTCGTATTGCGTGGCGTCGCTGTGCATTGCAGCGCATGGCGTTGCATTGGCTTGCGTTGCTCTGCCTCGCGTTGCATCGATTTGCACTGTATTGCTTTTTGCGTTTATCCGCGCTGCTCTGCACCGCTCTGCATTGTCTTGAACTGGTTTCCATTGCATGGCTTTGCGTTGCGTTGCGTTGCTTTGCGTTGCATTGCGTTGCTTGGCATTGCTTGGCATTGCTTGGCGTTGCATTGCTTGGCATTGTTTGGCATTGCTGCGCATCGCGTTGTATTGCTCTGCATTGCTTTGCGCCGCATAACTGGCACCACATGGATTGCATTACACAGATTGCACTACGTCGAATGAATGCACTACCTGGATTTGCAATGCATAGACTGTAGAAAATCACTGTTTGGGGCCAACCCTGGGTAACATTCCAACTCCCGGTGAGGGACTTTAAAAGGCCCTGGAAACGACGAGGCCATTATTTGTACCAATTCCGTTGTGCCGTTTTGGTTGCCGCTTCTGGCGCCGTTCCTTTTCCAGTTCCGTCGCCGTTTCTGTTGCCAGTCTCGGTTCTGGTTCCACTTCTGGAGCCGTTTTTGTTGCCGATTCAGGTTGCCGTTTTCATTTGCCGTTTCCATTTCAAAAGGCCTTTTTTTTGAAACGCGTAGAAAACCACCCTGCCGTTTCCGGGGCTCTTGGGCGGCGCTTACTGGGCGATCCAAGGGGGGGGCACGAAAGGTGCACTTTTCGGGCTCTCGAAAAGCCCCTTTGGGGCCCGAAGGGCCCCTTCTACTCCCCAGAGGGCTTCTTTTCTGCAGCCTTCGCTGCCCCCCCCCCCCCATTTTTGTCGCCCCCCATTGCGAGACGCCCAAGGCCCACCTGGGTTAGGTCGGGCATGTCCTCCTACAGGCGGATTTTGGGAAGAAAAATGAAACATATAAGAATAACAAAAAAAATGAAGCGGGCACGGAAAATCGCTCCTTGACTATTTCGTGACTGTTCTCAGATGCTCCTCCCGTAGAGGGACACGCCCGATTTAACACTACGGTAAGGTGGGCTCCCTTGGTTACGATTCGAAGCCAGGGCGAGGATAACATCCCGGACATGATCGCGTCGTAAGAAAAAGGACGAGAGGTTAGTGCCAATGTTCAGCCACGGGGGGCCCTCGCCGGGCCTCCGGACCGTCAGAACTCGATTCAGAACGAAAAGCCGGTCCCGGGGAAAGGGTCGGGACTTCCAGGGACGCCGTCCTGAAAAAATCACGACGCCGCATGTCTGGGCAGTGGAGGAGAAGTCGAGAATCTCTGAGATCTGGCGGCTATGGGGGATGTCTCGGGCGCCGCGGCCTTTCCCGAACGCTCGCTCTGGAACGCGATCAGAGCGTCCGAGAACGCTTTGGAACGGGTGTATCCTCGTCCTACCCCGCCGGACCTCGTGAGTCCCCATCGTGGCCCATGCGTGCTGCTGTTTAGGGTCTTCTGCCGAGCATTTTGTCCGAGAAGAGACGCCAGGGCATGCCCGCCACAAGGCTTGCCTTGAGTGGTGCGCTCGCCTGAGCGCCAGCCACGCTCCAGGCCCCGAGGGGTGCCCCCGCCGCCGCGACGGCAGCGATCTCCTGGCCGGACCACGGCGCTCTCGGCCCTCGCCTCAGCCCAGGCCGCGCGGAGACGAAGCCGGGGCGAAGATGACATCTAGGGAAACAAACAGTGACATAAACATAAAAACTCGGAGGTCCGCGCGGATTTCTCGGATCGGCGCTGGGGCCCCCCGGCGGCGCCTCCGGCGCCGCCCTCGGCGCGCTCCGCGCGCCAGGGAGCGGGGTCCAGCGCCGATCCGAGAAATCCGCGCGGACCTCCGAGTTTTTATGTTTATGCCACTTGTTGTTCTCTCCTAACATCGGGGCGAGAGACTCACATCGCAGATCTCTCCGAGAGGGAGGGCGGGTCTGGAGGATACACCTCGGGCGCCGCAGCCCTTCCAGCGCGCTCCGCCCGGGGCGCTCGGCCTCCGCCCCGGGCCTGCCTGCAGCTCCCTCGCTTCGGGGAGCGGGGCTCGCGCCTGGAGCACCAGCTGGGCGGCGAGCCAGACTTCTGAGAAGTTTTCTAAGCCTTCCCCGAAGACAGACAAAAACTTCTCAGAAGGCGCGAGGGCTTCTGAGAAGTCCCGCCGCCTCTTCTGAGAAGGCCTTCTCCTGCTCAATTCCCCACCTCGCTCGCCGCCGACCAGCAGCCACAGCCCCAACTCGGCGCAGGCCACACTTTTTTGCTCTGGCAGCCGCTCTCGCCTCGGCGCCGGCCAGGCCGCTGATCGGGCCCATGGTGACCGGCGGGGTAGCGGTGCGAGAGCCCCTCGGAGACTCCGCCGCAGAGAGCCGCTCGCGAGCTCTTGCCATGGCACTTCGCCACCTCCACCACACCCCTCCGATGACCCCCTCCGATGACCCCGGTCGGGGCGGAGCGGTGGTGGTGGTGGAGCAGGTGGCGTACCCTTCCCCACTTTCTCTTTGTCCCTTGCGCCCCTCCTCCTCCTCCTCCTCCTCCTCCTCCTCCTCCTCCTCCTGCAACTCCTCCTCCTCTTGCAACTCCTCCTCCTCCTCCTCTTCCTCCTCCTCCTCCTGCAACTCCTTCTCCTCCTCCTCCTCCTCCTCCTCCTCCTCCTCCTGCAACTCCTCTTGCTCATCTTCCCGCCTCCTGCTCCCCATCCAATTAAGTACTGGTCCTCCTGCTCGTGGGCCGCGGCGCAGCCGCCACCCGTGCCCCAGCGGATCTTGCAGACTGGGGGGGGGGGAGGGGGCCAGGGGGAAAGGCCGGTGGCAAGCGCCGGCGAGCCGCCTCCCGGTCGCGGTACTTGATGGGGTGTCCTGGACGGGGATGCCAAAATGGACGAACGAGCAACACACACCCATACCCATAGGGGGGTCGTTGAGAGGAGGACTGGCTATGGGTATGGGTGCGGGTTGTCGGACCCTCGGGAACGCTCCCGTTCGAGCGGGGACCCCATCCGACAACACGCACCCATAGCCCTCTCCGACCCCCCTATGGGTATGGGTGTGTGTTGTTGGTTCGTCACAAATGGCCACGGAGGGAGTGCACGCGGAAGCTGGGGCAAGATCAGGGGGCCCAAGGACGGACGCACGCGCCCACCCACGCGCAGAAGCACGGTCCGCCAGCCTGCGAGACTGGCCGCGCGATACCGAACGTTCGCTGGAACAAGACAACACGACATGAACGCAATCGTTTGGCGCTCCGCGCGGATTTCCTGGATCTGCGCTGGGCCCCGAAGCGTGCCCGGAGGCCGCGGCCGCGAGGAGCCCCCCCACGAGGCCCGCGACGAGGCACCGACGCCAGAAAAGCCTCCGGGCGCGCCGGAGCTGGGCCGGGGAAGAGGGGGGGGGGGTCGGCGCAGTCTGGCCCGAGGCGCGTGCGCGGGCCAGGAGGGGGGGGGAGGGGGCCCCCCTGGGGCGACTCGTTTGGCTGGTGCCGTCTTGCCGTCTTCTTCTTCTTCTTCTCCTTCTTCTTCTTCCCATCCTGCTCTTCGTGCTGCTCCTCGCCATGCTCATGCTGCACGTGCTGTTTCTAAGCACCTCCGATGTCATGGTTGCAGCCTCTTTGGCTCGCCTCCGCCCCTACCCGAGCCGCGGCTTCCTCCTCCAACTCACCATGTCTCTTCCTGTTCCCCGCTTCAGTCCTCACTTCTCACTTCTTCTCCTCCTTCTCTTCCTTGTCCTTTTCGTCCTCCTCTTCCTCCTCTTCATCATGCTTATCTTGCATCGCATGATTGTAGCCTCCTTGGCTCGCCTGCTGAGCACCTGACCGCCCACCTGACCACCTTACCACCTGACCACCTGCCCACCTGACCACCTGACCACTTGACCACGTGACCGCAGAGTGAGCCACCACAGAGGACCCTACTGCTGAGAGGAGGGGGGGACAGGGAGGGGGCAGGAGACATACGTTTGAGGAAGAAGAGCAACACTACTGAGAATCACGGCTAAGCGTCATCAGAGCAAACAAGTGGAGAAGAAAAAGAGAGGGCCAAGATTGCATGGACCCGGCCAGGATACCTACACACTCCTGTCGTCCTCCTCTGGGGAAACCTCAAGGTACCGATACCGCTGCCCCCTGGACCTCCCCCGGGGTGCCTTCTGACCAGGACTCGAGGCGAATCCAGTGGCGGCGACGAGGGCCTCCCAGGAGGCCCCAAAAGGGGAAAACGGCCGAAATGTAGCGGTATGGGTCCCTTTTCGGCCTCTCATCCTCTCCCCTTCCAAACCCAAACCCCCGGCGTCGTTAATTTTTCGCAACGTCGACCCCCAGGGTCTGGACCCCTTCCCCTGGACAAATTTTTCATCCCGAGTCGTTTTTTGACGGCCCCAAGGCCCGGTAGGGGCCCCCAGAGGCAAAAAACACGCCCGGCGTGACTTTTCAGGACTCGACGGGGTCTGGGCACCTCCCACGTTTATGGGGGCGGCCGAGCTGGACGTGGCGTCCTTCGGGGGTGACCCACTCCACAGCGTACGCCGTGACCGGGACCGGGAACGTCACCGAGAGCAGGTTGGCCCAGTTCCTGCGGCGGAGCCCCTTCAGGCACCTGTGAGAGGCCACGACGAGGAAAGGGGCCCAAGGACACACAGATCGAGGCACACAAATCCTAGGATTCCCCCTATTTTGGTTTTCGTCTTCCCCCCACTTCGCATTTTGATGCGCGCATATTTTCTGGGTTTTCGTCTGCCCTCCACTTCCCATAGTTTCCCATCTTTTACTAAGGATCTACATGCTCAATGTATTTCTGCGCAGTATGACCCGAAATGCTCATCGATGGTTCTTGTCCGAGCAATGCCAACCGGTATGCCATGCTGTTGGATTCTCCCGTCGCGTCAGACAGCAGGCAGCTGGCATCGAGTCGGGATATCGAACCGCATCGGAATGTGCGAAGGATCGGGCTGCATCGGCACGGAACCGAAATCGAATGTGGTCGGCCGCGACAGGGTGCACAAGGGCGCCGTGCAAGCATCGGGACGCCTCGGATCGCCGGAGCATCGGCATCGAACCCCAGGACGGCGTCCCTGGAAGTCCCGACCCCTTCCCCGGGACCAGCTTTTCGTCCTGAGTCGATTTCTGACGGTCCCGAGGCCAGGCAGGGCCCCCCCAGGGGCCGAAAATAGCCAAAAACCTCCCGCACTGATTTCAATCACCACCCTGGCGCCCCCTCATGCAAGGGCCCCGGCCATGCCCGAGCGAGGCCGCCCACGGCGGAAGCGGTCCCAGCCCTCTGGGCCGCCTTCGGGCCGTCTTGGGCTCCTGTCGAGCAGTGTTCTGCGTGTTCCTGGCCTCCTGCTGTGAGCGGGGAAGGCCCCGAGAGCCATCGCCAATGTCACTGACACGGGGATGGTGCGCATCGATCAGCCAGTCGACACACTCGAGCCCGCTCGGCGATGGCATGGAGAAAACATTGAGCGCAGGAAGGAACAGAAAACACACAACCACACATACCCACCCACCCACCCACCCACTCACCCACCCACCCACCCACCCGCCCGCCCACCCGCCAACCCGCCCCCCCCCCTCCCCCTCCCCCCCCCTCACCACCCTCCACCCCCCCCACGCCCCCACCCCCCCCCTCCCCCCCCCCCTCCACCCCCTCACCCCTCCACCCCCCCACCTCCCCACCGCCCCTCCTCCCCACCGCCCCACCCGCCCCATCTCCCCCCCCCTCACCACCCACCCCCGTATCCCCCATCTCCACCCCCACCCCCCCCTTATCCCCACCCCTCCACCTCTTTTCACCCTGTCTTCACTTCACGTGATTAAACACCCCCCCATCCCCACCGAGCCGGCCGATAGTAACCCCGCCGTCCCAACTGTCAAAAAACAACACAAACTCCATTTGTTTCGCCAACATGACGTCGAATTGCGAAAATTGCAGCAGGAATGAAACGGAATGAATATCGCTCGGGTCACCCTGAGCGGGTGGTCGCGCCCTCCCGATCAACAAACAATGCATAGTCATAGTTTTCCTCGTCAACATGGACTTTCTTGTCGCCGACGCTGCGAAAAGTGTAGCAAGAATGGGACACGGCGCACATCGCGCACGGACGCCTGGCCAACCCTACGCGGGACTCCGTCCTACCCGTTCAAAAAAAAACACACAGCTACGTGTACGTTCAGTCGGCGTTGCGAATCGCGTAGCGGGAATGGGACGTGGCGCACATCGCGCGCGGACGCCTGGCCAACCCAACGGGGGATCCCCCGTCCTACCTGTCAAATAACACAGAATTGTCGACGTTCTTCCTTGCCAGCATGTATTTTCTCTTCGTCGGCGCTGCGGATTTTGGCGGTGCAGCGCGTGGCTGGAATGAGACGCGGCGCGCTTCGCGCGCTGGACATGTTGTCGCCGCGGTGCAACATGAGAGGCCGGATCGGGGCGCGGCGTACATCGCGCGCGGTTTTGTTTCTCGTCGACGTTGCTCAATACGCGGCAGGGGTAGGACGCAGCTCATGTCGCGCGCGGAACGTCTAGCCGCCCACGATACAAAATGAGTGACAGGCGCCGGACGCGACGCACTTGCTTCTTATGTTGTGGGACGGCGGGTGGGAGTGGACGGAGCCCTCTGGCTCGTTCGCGCTGGCTAAATTGACCAATCCCCCACCCCCCCACCCCTTCACCCCCCACCCCTCCACCCCCCCAACCCTCCACCCCCCACCTTCCCACCCCCCCTTTCCACCCCCCCACCCCCCCACCCCTCCACCCCCTCCACCCCCCCACTTCCTCACCCCCCCACCCTCCCACCCCCCTACCCCCCCACCCCCCCGCCACCCTTCCTTTCCACTCCCCCCCTCGCCCCCCCTCCCCCCCGCCCCCCGCCCCCCCCGCCCCCCCCCTACCGCCCCACCCGCCACCCGCACCCCCGTTCTTACTTCCTATGATTAAGCGCTCCCACATCTCCACCTAGCCGGCCGCTGGCAAGCCCGCCGTCCTAACGGTCAGAAAAACAAAGCAACTCACTGTTCCTCGCCAACATGTCGTCGAGTTGCGAAAAGTGTAGCAGGTAGGACGGAATGGACATCGCTCGGGTAACCCTGAGCGGGTGGTCGCGTCCTACCGATTAAAAACAATGCAATGTCAACACTTTTCTCGACACCATGGACTTTCTTGTCGTCGACACTGCGAGAAGTGTAGCAGGAATGAGACGCGGCGCACATCGCGCGCGGACGCCTGGCCAACCCTCGACGCTGTTGTTTTGCCAACGCGGGGTCAAACAACACCGAAACGTCGACGTTTTATTGCCAACATGTACTTTCTCCTCGTCGGCGCTGCGAGTCGCGTAGCCCGAATGGGACACGGCGCGCATCGCGCGGGGACGCCTGCTCGTCAACATGGACTTTCTTGTCGTCGGCGCTGCGGCCCGTCGGATTGAAGAGCTGGGCGGGCGTACGTCGCGTTCGGTCTTGTTTCTCGTCGACGTTGCTCAATACGCGGCAGGAGTAGGACGCAGCTCATGTCGCGCGCTGAACGTATAGCCGCCCGCGATACAAAATGAGTGACAGGCGTCGGACGCGACGCACTTGCTTCTTATGTTGCGGGAGGGCGGGTGGGAGTGGACGGAGCCCTCTGGCTCGTTCGAGCTAGCTAACTTGACCCCCACCCCCACCCCCATCCCGATCACCCACACACCACACACACACACACGCACACAACGTACAACGTACACCTGCGGGAAGGTGTTTTGTGCATCCCGTCTTGGAGCCGTCTTCGCCTCTGGTGAGAACTGAAGGGGCGGGCGGCGAACGCGAAGCGTCACGAACAGATTGGTTCCCAGCCCGTCCCCCACCAAGGATGGGGAAACGCCGGGCCCTTCGATCCACGGAGCAGGGGAGGCGACGAAACCATAGCAGAGTCGTGAGGCAGGTCCTGGAGGAGAGTGGCTCTCGAATTGAGCAGGGACCGACCGTCCCGGCATTCCTATAGTCCTACCAGGAAATGTTCTTAGAACCCAAAGCTGTTCTAAAAACAAAAACAATGCTCTTAGAACATCAGCCCCATGTGCTTGAAAACGAGACAGTCCCAGCGAGAACTGTTCTAAGAACATTTCGTGGGAACCACAAAAAAGGTTCTTAGAACATTGCTTGGTGGGGCTATGGGCGAGCCAGGACGCTGCGCCGCTGCTCGATCGAAACTCGCACCCCGTGTGCGGGGCCCTCGGGGCACCGGCCCCCGGGGGCCGCGAGAAAACGTCGGGGGAGGAAGGGCTCCTCCTCCTCCTCCTCCTCCTCCTCCTCCTCCTCCTCCTCCTACGAGGGGGAGAAAACGACTGGGAAGCCCCGGGGTCAATGAGTATCGCTTAAGCGATCCCCGTCCCCAGCGGCGTGGCCGAGGCCCCACTGGCCGATTTCACCCCCTGGATGGGGGCATAAGGTCGTTCCCGTCGGGTTTCGAGGGGGGTCTCCCCAGCTGGGGTGGTAACTCTGCGGGGGTCCTTAAGGGGATGGGCGTAGGGATGTGGATCGTTTACACGATATCGAGTCAAGGAACCTCCCTTCCTCCCCCGCCACTCGCAGGCCCCTCAGGAATGCCGCTGGCGCGAGGGCCAAGCTGTGCTTATATCCTGAGTCTAGGGCTCACCTGAAGGACAGGAACAGGCTCTTGACCACCGTGATCGCCCCGATGATCGCAAACTGCCCGACGATGTGTGAGTTCAACGGGTAGACGCAGCCACAAATGCAGTCCGAGCCTGCCAGCGGCCACGTAACGGCATACGTGGGCCTGATGTCGGGCAGGCACAAGGTTATCAGGTTGTGGACGGCCAGGACGAGCCCGTAAATGCCGCACGCGAGACCCGCAAGGAATGCGCCGAATCGGCTCATCCGCGCTGGATGCCAAAGAAAGACCAGTGCCACTAAGGGCACACCGAGCAGCAAGAATACAACGCAACTCCAAATCGCTGCCAGCGGGCCCATTATCATCGCGACTCCGATCCCCAACAACCTGCCTGATCTCGAGTGGAATTTTCCGCACTGGCACAGGTATCTGCCACAGCCCATCATCTGGAACACCTTGTGCACGCAGGGGAACTCCTGGACTCCGCCTCCTCCTCCTCCTCCTCCTCCTCCTCCTGCTCCTCCTGCTCCTCCTCCCTCCCGCACCGCCTCCGCCCCCACCTCCTCATCCTTCTCCTCCTCCTCCCTTTACTCCTCCTCCTCCTCCTCCTCCTCCCTCTCCTCCTCCTCCTCCTCCTCTCCTCCTCCTCCTCCTCCTCCTCTCCTCCTCCTCCTCCTCCTCCCTCTCCTCCTCCTCCTCCTCTCCTCCTCCTCCTCCTCCTCCTCCTCCTATTCTCCTCCTCCTCCTCCTCCTCCTCCCTCCCCTCCCCCTTCTCGACTTCCTTTTCTCTCTCCACCCGACTTTCCTCCTCGTCTCTTCCTCCTCCTCCTCCTCCTCCTCCTCCTCCTCCTCCTCCCCCTTCTCCTCCTCCTCCCTTCTTCTCATCTTCCTCCTCCTTCTCCTCTAAAGCCCTCCTTCAGGAACACCCTTACACCTCATAGAACCTACAGCCCCCCCCTACAACCAATCAGAATACCCTGGAACATTCTCTCCTTCCTTCTTCCCCTCGCCCCTTTACCTTCTTGTTCTCCTCCCTCCGCCTCCTCCCATTCCGCCTCCTCCAAATGTTCCCGAGACTGCCCCCCTCGCCTGTCTGGATAGCGGAGCCCCAGACCACCCGGCGGCCGAGTGGTGGCCCCCAGCCGTGCGCAATCGCTGCGCGATCGGTGGGGCTGCCGGGGGGACCTCGAAACCCCGGGGTGGAAAACCTGTTGTGAGGCACCCAAGCATGCGACGCCCTGACTCTCCCAGGACGGCGTCCCTGGAACTCCCGGCCCCTTCCCAGGGACTGGGTTTTCTCGTCCTGAGCCGCCTCGTTGACAGGTCCCGAGGCCCCTCGCGAAGGCCCCCCTGGGGCCGAGGATGGCCCCAAACCGCCCGAGCCGCCGGGGCTCGCTCCTCCTCCTCCTCCTCCTCCTCCTCCTCCTCCTCCTCCTCCGTTCTACCTCCTCCTCCTCCTCCTCCTCCTCCTCCTCCTCCTCCTCCTCCTCCTCTCCCCTCCTCCTCCTCCCGTCCGGAGCTTCTTTGCGACGCGATCCCGCCTGGGCGCCCGCCGCCTCGTGACACGGGGCGGACGGCGGCGGAGCGTGCCCTCCGCCCGCGGCCACGCCCCCGCCGCACGCGCTGCGCGGGCGGCCCCCCGTGGGGGCGGCGGGGGACGCCCCGCGGGCCGCCCCGGGGCTGCGCCGTGGCCCCCGGGCGCTCCGCTCGTCTGCTCGTGCTCACCAGCCTCGAACGTATCCCGATCCCTAAGATCGACGCGCCAAAAGGCGATGACAATCTTAGGGGTCCGCCCTCAAAAAAGAAGGGAAACCCCAAGATTGGCATCGTGATGAGGAGGGTGCTCAGCATAGGGGTAGGGATATGTTCCAGGCTGGTAACGTGCCTCGTGCCCGCTGCTGCCAGCGCAGCCCCAGGCAAGATCGCGCCGCCCAAAGAATCGGGGCGGGAGGCTGACTCGGCCACTGTCGGCCCTTTGGGGAGCCCTCTCGCCGGGCCTCGGGGCCGGCAGAGCACGACTCGGGAGGAGAAGCCGGTCCCGGGGAAAGGGTCGGGACTTCCAGGGGTGCCGTTCTGAGAAATCAGGACGTCGCATGTCTGGGGATGTGCCGGTTCGAAGGGCCGCGGCTCTGGGGGCCGCCTCCGCCTGTGGGAGGAGGGCAGCCGCGAGGGGGAAGCACTGTGAGCCATGATCCGTCTCCGCTTGTGGAGCTCGGTTTGTAGACCTGGCAAAGTTCGGGCACATCATTCGGACATATTTGTCCTCCCCCTCCTCCGTCTCCTCCGTCTCCTCCGCCCATCGTCCTCCTTCACTTCCCCCTCCTCCGCGTCCATCTCCCCCCAAGCGCCTGGAACCCTCCAGCGTACTCCTCCCTGATTGTTGCTGTTCCCTGCAAGTGCCCAAAACCTCGCCTGGCTGCAGGTGATCCCCGTTCTCCATGATTTCTCGTTTCTCCCCCTCCTGCCCCCCCCATCCGTGATCCTTCCTACCATTCCGGTTGCCCCAACACCCACAGGAACCTCCAGGAACGCATGAAACCACCACACACGTTACTCCTGGTCCTCCGTTTTTCCCTCCTCTTCATCCTCCTCCTCCTCCGAAACCGCATTTTTTGTCCGACCCCCTGTTCAAGTCGCCCCTTTACGACTCGGGGACTCCCTGGGGAGGTCTGGAGCCTGCTCGGGGGGGCGGGACTGGTCGAGACGTCGCGACCCGCCATTAAACCGCTCCGTCCCCCTTCGCCATCCGATGAGTCTCGTTTCCTGTGCTCTGCCCCGATCACACAGCGAAGCCAAAACACTCCGAAACTCTCTCACACGGGGCCGTCAGCGCCGTGGCCACACAACCGCCGTACTGAGGAGCGGGTTTCCCTGTCACCCATCGGTGGCTATTCTCCTTGCTATGAAGCAGGTGCCCAGGACCACGCACACGTCCAGGCAATGGTGGCTCTGCCATCGTCTCGACATCTGCCCCAAGGATTGGTATCCCTTGGTCTACGGCGCAATCAGCACGGCGCGAGGCGCCGCGTGCCACAGATTCTAAATCCTCAGTCTGGTGGCTGCTCTCGTCATGCCCAACCACCTGGAAGCTTCCAGCCCAACTGGATGCGTAAGAGTCTTGCAGCCCGAGCCCCCGCCCCCGGAAGAAAACCCGATGCAGACCGGGGCGGTTTTGACATATTATTTTTCCGGAGGAAACAACAGTAGGCTGCGCAAACTGCACATTGGCCGCTGCAGCCCGCGCGGCTTGCACGCGGGCGGGGTGCAATCGTGATGTGACTGCTTAACCGAATGCCCCCGATAATCACCCCCGGGAACACGAAAGCTCGGGGTACACATTTTCCCAAGCAGGTCGGGGCAAGTACCTCGGGCCGCTGCATGTGCGGAGTGTCGAAATAGTAGTAGAAGAAGTAGTGGCACTAGTAATAGTAACAGTAAGCAGCGATAGTGATAGTAGTACCAGCAGTAGCCAAAACGATCTCGGCCCAGAGGATAATACAATCGGGCCTCGTGGCCCCGCCTCCGCGGACCAAAAAATGTCTTGGTCAGAGCCGGGGACTCAAGAGGCGGGATGCTTGATTCTCGCGTGCGTGCGATTGTTTTTCTTCGGAAACAAGACGAGGTAACGCCGATTGTACACTGGCGCGCGCAGCCCACGCCCGAGGCGCGCGGGCGGACTGCGCTCTTGATGCGACTGCTCAATGCGGGCCATCTCGGCTTATGCGACGGTTGCGCCGAAGTCAAAGAATTCTTGCGGCAACGCTCCCAGTTGGAAGTGCGAGCTTTGTCTGGAGCGCTCTAAAGCGATTCGGGCCACGGGCCGTTGCAACGCTGCGTGAATTTGGAACAAACGTTGTCTCGTTGGGCCCGCTCGGGCGCGCGACGCGCGCGCGGTCGACGCCGGCCCGCTGTTCCGCATCGTGGGAAATCATGCCGTTCGACAGTTCCAAATGCTGACTAGGAGCATTGACTCGCTCAGCGCTGAAGTGATGAGGGCCCGTGCCCCTATCGCTGTACGCAACGCGATTTCTGGGGCCACGGATTGGCGCGCGCCTGCGTCGTTGGCAATCGCACATAATAACGCCAGGCGCCAGAACCCAAGGGAGGTACTCGTCACGCTCGGGTCCGCTTGGCGATCCGCCGCTCCCCCCAGCAGCACAGGTACTCTCGGGCAGCTCGAGAAACATCGCCAACGCCCTCTGCCCCCGAGGACGCCGCGCACATGAATCGGCGATGCGTTCTCCGATAGTGCAAACGGGAAAGATCACCGCACGTCTTCTCCGAGCAATCCAGACGGCGAGGCACGCGGCAACCGCGCATTGACGCCTCGTCGGCCTCGACGAGGCACCCGCGAGGACACTCCAAATCTTGTGCATTGGCCTTGTCACCGCGAGGGCACGTGGCCCGCGCTACCCTTGCGATGCGCGGAGCTGCGTTCTTCGATCTTACCACCTGCATCGCCAGTTCGCCCGGAGACTCGCAACCCGAGGCGTGCTGGGCTGCTGCGTGGGCGATGGCGAGAAGAGTGCGCTGGGCCCTGGTTGGAAAACACTTTTAGAAGGCCCGTTGGGTCGAGCTGCGTCTCTGGCATCCCCAATGAGAGCAGCGCCCAACATTATAATCCGTCCGAGCGTGCTCAAGCCCGCCGCCTGCGTGTTCTGGTCCGGCCGTCTGCTCTGAAACTGCAACTGCACTGTGCGCTGAGATCTCGCCCCCTGATCTGGCAGCACGCCACTCTCGATCAAGACGCGAATGAGAAACTCGGGGCTCATCCGCGCCAGGCCCTGGCCGATCAGGGATATGGACAGCTCGGCGGCGCGAGGGCGATCAGCTCGCATGTACTCCGGAAGGATATACGATAGATCAGGTGCCTCTTCTTTCAGTGTCGCCCTGCCTTGTTGAATCATCGAATTCTTGCTGATTTAGTTCCCCTTGGTCAATGACGCTCTGCGCGTGCCAGAAAGCTTTCTGAATGGAAAAAGCGCGCGAGCGGGCCTCCTTTCCAATCTCGCTTTTTCACGCGATGAACCCGCTTTTGCTTGTCCACCTTGGAAACCTTGGCGCCGTGAGGCATGATAAGCAGGGGTGGCGTGCACGGGGACGGGACAGGGCTGCGAGCTGTTCGCCGACTTTACCCACGCGCGCGATGCAAACGGCGCAGCGCGCGGCAAACACATGCGCGGCATCAGCAGACGCGCGCAACCTCGAGTAACATCGAGGCAAGAGGCGCTGCTCCTTTGCGCGGAAAGGGCAAGCGGAGATCACGCAGCCAGACCGCCATAAGGGCGACCAGACGCATCATCCCGAAGGTAATCGCCCTCGCCCACAAGCGTCCAGAGGCAGTCCTCCTTCGCCCGATCCTCCTCCTCCGCCCCCTCAGTGTCCCTCCCTCCTCCTACTCCCTCTCCTCCTAATCTGCGCTGGCCGCAGCAGAATGGTACAACGGCATAAACCATAAACAACTGATACGCAACAG